GCTGTTCGTCACCGAAGACAAATTCCTTGTGTATATTTTATACTTGGTCATTAAAGTATTTTGTATCTTTGTATTTAAAAAAAAAAGAGCAGGTAAAAGTTATTGCACGTGTGAGACAATAGTTAAATAGACAATATTAGATAAATAGCTTGCTTGATCTGGTATCAAGCAACTTGCTAAGTAGCATAGACAGTTTCTTTCCTGTATTACCTAGAATGGACAAAAACAACTGGACTAGAAACGGCAACAGCTTCTGCTTCATCTGGAATGATCCCAGTACAGAATACAGCATGTACATAGCACCCGGACATCCTCTGAAAGTGTTTTGGGAAGCATTTTTTAATAGAGACCAAAGTGCTTATTGCACTTTAAAAATTCAGTAGCCACACTGTGTCCTGTGGCCTGCTGCTCCTGTTTTAATGTCATTTGTCAGGCACAGCAATAGCACTTAGAATCACAAGTGAGCTTCTTGAGAGTCATCATCAGGGCCAAGCCATTGTCAACACGTGCTCCAGGTTCCAAGGATTTGGAAAGATATTTCTCCACAGGGCCTCAATATGGCAATGCTGGACAGGCTTCCAATCACCTGCTGGTGCCCACTGTCACCAAGAATAGTAACTCAGGTCCAGTAGAAGCCATAAAGGATCCCTCAAAATTAAGTTAAATTTAGTTAGTGAGCCTTACCCCCATTTTCATTCACAAACGCTTAGAAGAAAAGTGGGGAAAGGGCCATAGCATTTAAACCTTTCTTAAAGCCCCAAGGACATTGGGTTGGGTACCTGGCAGTGCTACCTCCTTTGCTTAATTGTTGCAAAGAATTCTATGGATGGAAATAATAGCTGTAATGCTGCTCATTGAGCTGTGGCTGGCCCTCATAACTTATTTTCTCTCCCTAAACCACAATGAGGTAACTGTTGTGGGGGGGGGGGGCGAGGGGGATGAAAGGGAAAGAGTTTTTTTTTACAATAATGCATGTCATCACCATATCATTACTGATTGTCCACATATAGTACTTTATACCAACATCCTTTCAGTCTCACAGCCAGCAAGCACAGCAGTAGTCTCTGAAGGAATGTTGTGCAAATGCACCTACTGGCTGCTACAAGTCCTCCACAGACTTCT